TTCGATTGAAAATCGCTCAAGTACGCGTGACCCATTGCTACATGTCGGTTCGTGGCTACGTGCACTCCGGGACACCCGGTGTATTTACATAAGACTCAGCACACGTAGGCCGATAATACGCGTCGGTCCGGTTCGGAATCGTCGAGTGGCGAGATGCGGCGAGAACCTGCATGGCCACGCTAACCTGTTGGATCCAGTGCAGCGGAGCAAAAAAAGGTAAGAGGACCAGTCAACAAAAGATATGGCTGCCGGATTTTTCTACCTGGCTTCGCTTCGTATCTGATGTCTGACGCCCTTTTCCCTTAAAATTATCGATTATTTCCCGGATGCTCTTAAATTTGAATAATTATTATTTATACATTTAAACACTATTACTGTAAACTAAACGGAATTAATATTCACATGGAAAGAACGATTTCGCTAAAGTGTTTAAAAATTTAACTAAATACACATACAGATATAAAAATAATTTTGCTGGATCATAAAATATTTATATAGAAATCTCAAGCCTGATGAGCAATGCTGCAGAAAGTTTTGACTTTCTAGTAATCAAGTTGAGTCTCCTACATAATTATTTTAATGATCCAACAAAATTACTTTCTAGATCTGTATCTAATTACATTTTTAAATACTTCAGCGAAATTGTCCTTTCAGTGCATCAATGTTGTTAGATCTAATTAATTATGACAAGATTAATTATTAATTAAATCAAAAATAAATTACTTAATCTTCGACGTTTCTAAAATTATCACGAATAATAAATTGAATTGATGTTAATAATTTTTTTCAGTGATGTCGATTCACAATTTCATCGTTCGAGGTTCACGGCGATTTCGCAGAAACGCGATTGAATAATGCATTTGCACTCGTTATTTCACGTCATAACATATTCATGAGTCACGACGAATCCCACATCATGCGAAGAGCTCAGCGTTATTGGGATAAATATTTTACTTATTGTTAGACCGGATGAGAATAGAAGTAATTCTCCCTGTGAAAGACAATCGTCTTGCACAACAATCGGAAAGTCATAAAAAAATCATTTTCCAAGTCAAAACGAGATTTTCTTGGAAATGTCGCGCGAAATAATCAGATTAAGTAAAAATGCCATCACAAGCTAAATAAACATAAGGCCGTCCAATATGTATCTCCTAAAAACCTTTAAATATTTCTTTGTGTCGATATACATAAAATTGCAATTTTCATTGAATCATTTGGAGTTGATTTTGCATTAAAACCGCGTTTCGAAGAATTGATTTATAATATATATTTATTTTGTTGAAATATACTGTGCATCCGATGAACGAAAAGAAGAATATCAGTGAATATTCGGGAGATTATCATTATCGCACTCGGAAGGAGAATGGGCGTCACACTAGAGATACAAGTTATTCCTTATCGCACAGCCGTCAGGTAAACAGTGCGTTGAAATTGTTCTCTCACCGGAAGCGTTTTCTCGCTACGTTTATTCGGCAATTTTATACCGCCGTTTTCTATGCCGCGCGAAAATTTATTTCGCGAACAAACTCTCGCGAACAAAAACAGCGATGAAGAAATTGCATCTGTTCCTCTTTCTTTCTCTTTCTTTTTCCCTCTTTTTCTTTCTTTGGATTTATTTCTCAAATTTGTGTATGTATGTACAAAATATATTTAATGTAATTGAAAAAAAAAATCGATACAGATAAAAAAATTGAAAAAGTGCGTTGAAACATAGATACAGTAAAATTTTACGTACAAACTTTATATGAGAAAGTTTCAAGCTATACTTATTCTATCTTTTGACTCATCTTTCTCACCGGCTTTTCCGATCAACAATACCGAATAGACCACCCAGTATACAAGTGGATATGGGAACCGGCTTGTTCAATCGATCGAAATTGGCTAATTCGACGAGGATAAAATCGTCCTGCATCGGCTTGGCTAATTACTGATATGTTGTGCCGATGCAAAGGCGATCAATGTTTTCAACCTCGTAAAACTAACCGGTTTACCAGAAAAATCATTAATTGGTGGTCAAAGCTGGAATTTTTAATTGCAGTTTTTTTTTTGCAAAGAATTCAGAAATGCAAAATCCCTTATTATCAATTATTTTTCTGTTTTAAAAGACATTGATGATTAAATATTAAAATAAAATAAATCTTACAGGAACATTACGTTTTATTATTTATAATCTCTCCAATTAATATTTATACGATTCACTTGATAAAAAATAATTAAACAAATTATTAATGTTTAATTATTGATTTCTCTTTTAAAACTAAGATTTAATCATTTTTTGTTCTCAAATATATATATAATAAAATATAATATATAATTGATGTATCATATGGCTCTAAAATTAATATTTAAGCAAATATTATAAAAGAAATTTTAAGAAGAAATTGATTAAGAAATTCAAGTTAAACTTCATCGTTTTACAATGATTGCTCCTATTTCGATCTGTCACAACTACACGCGGCAACTGATTTCGCAATCACGCAATTCTATTTCTTGCTTTTTCCATATGAATAAGGTATTATCTAGAAGCGTTTTCTATAAATTATTTCTTAGACCTCCCTCGCAACGGACATTCGGTCCACATTGTCTACAAAATCGTCAAATGACAGCGTCGCTTCCCAACAAACGAGAATGGATTGAAATTTTTTTCTGTCCAAATGCATATTTTAAATAGCGAATACTTTTTTTGGATTTAATTGGATTCAATTCGATTCAATTAGATTCAATTGGATGTAATTGGATTGAAAAACTGCATTTCCTATTCAAAATTTTGAATTGAACAGTATTCACAATGTGTTGTTTGTGCACAGAAAAAGTTAATATTATTTTTAGATTGAAAGGCATAGAAATATGCTCCATGCAATTCCTATAAATAAAAATTCATTCAGGATTGAAAAGCATTCATTTTAACATTTGTGAATATTTCTGAAAATCTGAATCCATTTCAATTCATTTCAATCCATTCTCATTTGCTGGGTCTGTTTTGAATTAACAAGCATGCACAATGCATGCGCGCCATTTTGCCGGGTACTTCAAAATTGCAGTCGTCGCGTTACCGACAAGTTCAAATTCCACCTGTTCCACTCATCGAAATATGTTACATACACATCTAAGTACGAATGCGAGAAAAATCGGAGTTCAGCGGCTACATTTTAGAGTAGAAGTTGGGAGATAACGAAAGAGAGTGGAGAAGGAAAAAAGATCAAAAAATATGTATATGTACATATATATAGAGAGATATGATTTGGTAGGATACTCACCGAGATCTTCCACGAGGCGTAGCATGACACCGCCGATATGCAGCTCTCCCTTCACGCGTAAACTTCTTTCGACCTGCAGATCCGTCACGTAGACGCGCAGCACCCAGCTGCCGTCCACCTCGTGGCCGTCGGAATACATGCCGGAGTACGTAATTTCTCTCTTCTCTTTTTTCCTCTTTTCTTCTTTCTCTTCTCTTCCTCTTCTTCGCTGAACAGCGATGTCAACGCAGGCAGACAGGAGGAAACGGGAAATCGGTCGGAAAGGTCCGGTTTCGCACACGCATACGATACACTAAGCGTTATCCGCGGTCGTTCCTCGTACTTTTACGAGAGTCTCACGCACGGTTCAACGTCTGGCGAACATGTCACACCGCGAGTAACGTCCACTATTCGTTCATCCGGCTCGGCGACGACGAGTACGACGACCCGACGACCGCCACACGCAACGCACTACTGTCGCGCGACGACTGGTCTTCCTCGCTGCCCTTCCTTTCTGCCCCTCCGGATAGTCCGGATTCGCTGCCGCTGGGCGCATACACGAATACACACGCGTGCGTAATCGCGTGGAAACGAAACGATGGAACCGAAGAAGACCGAGACGACCAAGGCACTACCACTACCTTCGTTCGCTCAAACCCGAGTCACCCGAGTGAAGTCGGGCGCAGAAAAGCCGAATGCGATGGGAAACGTCGGTCATCTTCGATGTCACTCGGTCGCACTCGGCTCCGCGCTGCGTTCGTACGTTCTCTCGAATGAAACGGTTACGTGCTCGCCATTGTAGCGAGAATATTTGGCCCGATTTGGAGACGGCGATGTGAGAAAGCGGATATTAATGAAGCAACCGAATGACGAACACTGTGACCGAAAGCGAGCGACTTCGTGAGGTACTCGCTGTTCCTGTTTCTATACATTTTCATGAACGTTTAATTATAAGTATATTTAAATTTATTCAGATGATATCATTCTATCAATAATACTTAAAAATTCGAAATGATGATATTTCTAAGTCGATCGGATGAGGAAGGATCAATTTTTGACAAATAATAAGGCGAATTCAATTTCACTTGTAAGCAAATTGAAGTGAGCGGTTTTCTTTTGCGTAAATGTTCTAATGTTGAGAACTTAACTCACAAAATTCAAATTCGCGGTCTACTTCAGTATAATCTTTTCCAGAAGCCATGAAATTTTAATTGGATTTGAGTAATTTCTCAAAATACTTTTCTGGTCATTTTTTTCCATGGTCTCGTGCATTTTAACTTTCGCGTTATTTCTTATTATAAAAAAAAAGAATATATATATGTGTGTGTGTATGTATATATATATATATATATAA